GACAGTAATATTGTAAGGTAATGAATTACTTTTAAATAACAGTAACAAGTAATACCTAATGTATTACAGTTTCAAAGTAACTTGCACAACACTGGATATATCACACCAATATTATCAAACTCTGTAAGCAATAAATCAACTCTGATTTCATTTTTGCAATACAATCAAAAACCGGAGACGCAAGACGGCAAGTTGTATTTGAATGAAACAAGAGCGCGCGTCCGTTGTGATATGGATGTGCGCTGTGTAATAATGCGTTGCTATTGACGACGGGCATTATAAAGAAGCAAATGCCATAGAATAGAATCTTGCTTAAACTGCATAAAAACTGCATAGAGAGGCTTGTTTTATTTGTTGTTTGTTGATTTTCAATTATAAAACTTGTTGAAATGTTTTCAGTGTGAGCATCAGTTCTTTTTGAGCACTTTCATACATTTTTAACAAAACCGTGATAATATTGATAATCACGATTATTTTGGACACTAATCGTGATATGAAATTTTCATACCGTCCTATCCCTAAGGTTTTGTTAAGAAATAATGAGTATGGGTTTCACAACCTTATTTCAGTGACAATATATATATATATATATATATATATATATATATATATCAGGGATAGAAATAAACTTTTTTGTCCACCATCCACTGTGGCTGGTGGATTTCAAAATCTACCAGCCACTCAATGTTTTTACCAGCCACTTTTTTTGTTTTTAACCGACAATATGTAACTGCATGTGAAAATTAATACTACAAGATCTACAATACTTAACCGGTTTATTTAATCTTAAGTCTCAATGAAATACTGACATTTTCTCTTTATCTCTTATACACACACACAAACCATGAACTGATATACATTTCGTTAAATTAGTGGGGCAGATTAAACAAAAAATGGAAAATGTATTAAACGTGTAGAATACTTTCCAAGCCATAGCATTATAAATTCACATAGTGTGACATATATAAAAATAAAACATAAGATTATCTTTTAAAATCGATTGAACACGGAGCATTTTTTTATATATAAAAAAATAAAACATAAGATTATCTTTCGATTGAACACAGAGTTTTTCCTGTGAGTGAGACTGGAAAACCTGTAGTGGATGAAAGCGGAGTGATTACAGAATGCTTACGCCCGTTTCACACATACTCCGTTTGCAGTGCGTATGCGGTCTGTATTTTTTTCCGTACCCATGTTAACAGGTTAGAGCTTTCACATTGCACGCGGATGCAGTCCGTCGATCCGTTCCAGTTGCGGTGCGTATACAGCAGTGCAGAGATCGTTTCCGTACCGAGTCTATTTCTGCTGTGCTGCAAACACAGAAATAAAGTGATAGCGCACGGTTCGTGGTCAAAATGAACTCAGATTGACCTCGAAATGTAGTAGTTTCACCATAAATGCGATTAATTCAATAAAATGTAGTGATCTCTCCATAAAGGTATTTAATTGTTTCATATTTTTTACTTTAAGACATCTTAATATATAGCCTAAGTAATGCATGGAATTGTATGCATTCGTTGTTTAAATCGTGTTTAAACGAGCATGCGTCCATTCAAGTTTGTAAAAGAGAATCGCAAAGCCATGGCAAAACTTTTATTTTAATAAAAGTTACTGCATATGGTGAACATATTTTGATTACCAAAATCCAGGACACATGGCCCAGAAAACAAATGATACTCGAAGTTTACTCAAAGATGCCTTATTTATTTTAATAACATTAAAATAGGCTATGCCTCCTCTGTGGATAGAAAATTGTTATATTAAGACACAAATTGCCTAGGCTTCTCAGAGGATACTCAACATGTTTTATTATGACAGGTTAGTTTAAAAAATAATGAATGAAATAATGATTAAAAAATAATGTCTCTTCTGTATTAGAAAAATAAATATATAAATATTAATTAACTAAAAGAAATACCTTCAAATTGAACAAAAATACCTCTCACAAACGTACAAAAACGAACTAGCTTTCTTCCTTTTTATCCTGTTTTTCTTCCTCATCCTCCTTGTTCGCTCATCTCCTATATTTTGCTGTAAAGCTGATCTTTTCCAGCGGTTTTTTTATTTTATTTATTTATTTATTTTATTTTTTTTTGAAAACCAGGACATCACTTTATAAAAAACGGCCAGGACAGGACGTGAAAACAGGACTGGGATAACAGGACTGTTGGTCACTGGTCACGCTATTGCTGCATAACTTCTGATTTTGAAATAAAAATAGCGAGTGTTTGTGGTACAGCTCACGCACTGCAAACGCAGCATATGTGAAAGCACTTTAGCGCGTGCGGCTCCTGTACCGGACACGCACCGCAACACTCACCGCATACGCACTGCAAACGGAGTATGTGTGAAACGGGCGTAACGGTCACCAGGTGGAGTGCCCTTGAGAGTCACTAGAGGGCACTTCACACCAGATGTTCATGTTTCTCTCACAACTACATTTCCCATAACTCACTGCCCGGACTCATCAGCACTCATCTCATTCACCTGTCTCTCATTATCTTGTTTAGTTCACACCATAAATACCTTGTGTTCACATTCACTGTTTGCGAAGTCTTGTTGTACTGTGTGTCTGCATTTCCGAGCTGTTTCTCGTGTTTGTCTTCTGTTTTTGACTTTGGATTGTTCTTGGATTTTGATTATTGCTGCCGCCTGTTTTTTGGATTTCCCCTGTGTGTTCTCCATTGCCCTGTCTGCTGTTTCTCGACCCTGCCTTTACGACTATTCTTAATAAAGCTGCATTTGGATCTACTCCCAGTCTCGGAGCAGTTCATAATACCTGGCAAACTAGACTTAGCATTTAAGCAATGGCAAGATAAGGGCATTGCTCAATTTGGCGATTTCTATATTGATGGTCTTTTTGCTAGTTTTAACGATTTGCGATCCAAATTTAATTTAAATCAAACTGATCTTTTAGTTATTTTCAGATTCGACATTCTGTCATTGCGCAAAGCCCATCATTTCCATATATTCCATTTAAGTCTCCTGCAGACTCTCTGCTTGAAGCCCCCTCCATCTACAAGGTTTTATCTCCAGAATATATAGGATTTTCATGTCTTTAAAAAGTGCAGGAACAGACAATGTTAAAGTGGATGGGAGAAAGAGCTTGGAACAGTATTTTCAGAAGAATTCTGGAGTACTGCCCTCCATAGAGTGAATGGTAATACCTCTTGTGCCCGATTGAGTCTTATACAGTTTAAAGTCTTGCATCGTGTGCACCTAAGCAGAGCAAGAATTGCTTTGTTTAATCCTACTTTTGATAAGACCTTTATAAGATGTCACACTGGAGAAGCGGATCTGACGCACATGTTCTGGATGTGCCCCACACTTTCTCCTTACTGGTCAACCATATTCGATACACTCTCAAAAGTATGTGAAGTACAATTGAAGCCATGTGCTGAATTTGCTATATTTGGTGCTCCAGCGGAGGAATTGAATCTGACTCTAAGACAACTAAACATTATTGCTTTTGCATCCTTATTGGCTCGCAGACGGCTGTTATTATATTGGAAATCTGTAAACCCACCTAAAGCATCGCACTGGCTTCAGGATTTAATGTTATACCTACACCTGGAAAAGATCAAATATTCAATTAGAGGCTCCCATAAATTCTCTTATGTCTGGCAACCCTTATTATCCTATTTTTCTGCCATAAATGTACTTCCTGAGGAGTAGTGGGATTTACATTGCTATTTGCATCCTTTACACACTCATTGTTGATTGTTTACAATCTCGAGGTCTTTGATGTTCAGGCACATGTCTTCCAGCAGGTGCTTCTCCAGGTATTTACATGTGTAAGATGTTAGGTCTGGAAACTCATCATTGACAGGGCTCAATCCGAGGGGCGGGATAAACGGTTGTCTTTCAAATTCTCTCTGCACGCAATTGGATAGCGCTAAAGCCAATCAGAGCAACGAAGAAGGTGACGTACTAAGCGGAGCAAGTTGATATATTAAACTTTTACCGCATCCAGTCCAGCTGTCAACATTGAACATTGAAAATAAGAGAGATTTCCCAGAATCCATCCCCAAAATAAGGGATTTTTTTTTTGTTTTTTACACGAACCACAAACTTTAAAAATAAAACACTAATCATTAAAAGTCAAAAGAGTTTATAACTAGCCTACATATGTGTGAGAGAGAAAGAGACAGAGAGAGAAAGAGACAGTGTGTCATTAAAAAAATAATATCATAGAGAATGTTTAAATACTAATATCAGCTTACGAGGAAAATGGAGGCGGAGTAGTGGTGCTTCGGGGTGGTGGAGATGATTCGGTAGAGGTCCGTGCACCTATACCGATCAGAGCGCGCGCCACTGACACGGAGTAAAGCCTTTATCCTCGACGACACAGCACGAGTGGGCAAAAATGACAAGTTTATAATTTCGTCACAGCTTTTTTGTAACAGCGCGCACGGCGCCGGCCGCATCCGAGGATGAACGACTTCAAACAGAATATGTCCGAGCTTGCTCTGACCGGCTCAACTCTGTCGTCATTATGTTAAGCCCGCCCGCCGACTCTATACACGATGTGATTGACACTACCAGAGTTGAGTGTTTCCAGCTAAAACGTCTATGGAGAGTTGCTAGACCACACTTTGCTGCAAAATAATTTTTGCTGCCGCTAGGGTGCATCTAGATTTCTAGGCTATATTGATGTATCATTGTTGCACCTTTGACTTTGGTGTCTAACTGTCTTTCTCTTTTATTTTATTTATTTTTCTATCTATTTTTATGTAAATATAAACATTGTCATTGTTTAACAACTGTATATTTATTTTATTTTAATATTGTTTTATTATTAGTGACATTATTATTTTTCATCATCTTAAAAAATAAAAATCATACCGATCCAAAACTTTAGACTGGTAGGGTATGACTGATATATTAGAAACTGCAGTTAGCCCCATCACGCATTGTAAATTAATCAGAAATGTGTTTAGATGGCCTATTTGTCATTGTTCAGATTTGACCAACGCTATTACACTCACTGATGCTACCTGATGGGGTCTGAATCCTTGACCTGGTGCTTTCTAATATATTCTTCAGGTAGAGCACTCCAGCCGAACACCAGTGGCCATCTGAAAATGCCTCTTTGGAAGTTATCAACAAGCATGTAGCTGAAACAAAACAAACAAACAAACAAACAAATAAATTAATTTTTTGTGCATGAATTTGAACAGTTTAGTGAAGCAGTGGAGGACCTATACACTGGAAATAGCTCTTTAATCTCGTGAGGACATGGACATGGTTATTACACCATGGTATTCTTTGAAGTGCCTTGTACAAAAGGGGAAGCTTGCGGAACGAAAATATATTTCCCATATATGAATGATCAATATATTAAATAGTTTAAAAGTATATTTGAAAATAAACAGAGTAATATATTACAATATATAAAGAATTGCCACTTTTCACACTTCATAATATATAAATGTATATGTGATCAGATGTGGTAGGCTACTGCATGTGTGATATTTTGCAGATTTATTTACTCATGAAAAATAAACACATATAGAGAAATATATAATGTAATATATTTCTTATATATTTTTTAATTATTTACATTATAAATGTTTCATACTTTCAAGGTAGTTAACAAGAGCTCAAGCACACATTCATTTACTAAAGTATTAAGCCAAAAGACTATCATTGTGATGAGGAATGCACAGCCATTTCTTTCAAAATATAGTAATTATTGTCTTAATGTTGATCGACCAATCATCAACTGAACCACAGCCTCTACACAATAGAAAACCCCAAAACTCACACATACCAAAACATCTTTTAAATTCCAAAATCATATTTTATACATTAACCCCCCCACCCCCAAAAAAACCCACATTAAATAATACTTAATTTTAACATTTGCTCTCCTTTCAGAAGTCAGTCAGAAGCAAAGCATGCTGGGAACTAGAAATCTTGTTGTAACTCATTCCATGAATGTGTGTATATGTGTGTGAACATGCATTCACATTTATATTGGAACATGTATGTGTAATATATACACAATAAAGTACTTTGACTCTCGACACAATAAAGGATACAACTTTGTGAACATTACATGCAATGCTACTTTATACATATTCATTAATATATAGCCACACATGGTCAATGCACATACAGTATAGAACTCAGGCAGCTGACGTCACGCAATCTAAACTCCGCCATTTTGGCAGGCAAATCAGGAGAGCGCCAGAGCGGCTGTAGCAGTGATAGCGGTTGAATGATTTAAAGTCTATTTAAAATTTAAAACCATAAAATTTCAAAATGACTTCGGGGGAATGTTTAAACTGTTGATTAACCCATTTAATCCCACCATAAAGATATAAAAGAATAATTGTACAATAGTGTCAGTAAAGATATTATCATTATCCCATAAAACACAATGTTTCACACACTTTCCATAAACAGTTTTCATTTTCTTTTTTTTATTGATTATTTCAATGGACAATTAATGACACATCATTGGGATATTTTCATGTCTGGGAAAAATTTGGGAAAGTCAAAAAAGACTTGAAGAGACTCCCTTCACCAGTAATTAATTTTTCAATGACCCTCCAAAACGATTGTGAAAAAAGCATGACCCTCCCCGATAATTTATTGATTACTTCTGTACTGGTTTGCGCTTGGCAAAGATGTTCAGATAGCCTTTTTTAAATTTATTTTTTTACAACAAACAAACGACTAAACTCCTGCTTTCTCATCCTACTAAGGCTGTAACAATATACCAAAATTTAGTTCGTATCATGATTTTTTTATTTTAGATTTAAAAAAATAATAATAATTTAAAAAAAAATCACGTTCCCTTTCGTAGTCACTCCGAGTTACGTCAGGAGTGACGGAGAATGGGGGTTTCGCATAGAAAGCCAATCCTCTTCGAGTATTTAATAACGAGCCAATGGCATGAAAATGCCTTGGGGCTGCGGAATTTGCATAGCGTAACGCCGCCCCACCCCGTGGGTATAAAAGGTGGAAGTGAACGGAACCGCAGTATGTTTTCGCTTCGGAGCCAAGAGACTTCTTCACTCCCAAAGCCAGTTTCACTGAGTACAACTCTTCGAGACGAGCGTCCTCTTCAGTGTTGGTGTGACGGCGGTACCCAGCGAGATTCTGCATTGCCTGCGATCTGAGCAGTGATCTGCCAGACTTTGTGCTTCTCCCTGGACGCCTCAGCGCTGAAAGAGTGAATTTCCTCCTCTCCATTGAAAGAGCTGCACGTGGCACGTCTTTTTAAAGATGGTTCGCCCGTGTTCTACTGGGTGCGGTCGATTCAAGTCATCTTCTGATGGTCACGATCGCTGCTTTGTGTGTCTGGGCATTCAGCATGCAGCAGCAGCGTTCGTGGATGACTCATGTTCCTTCTGTGGGAACATGACCATCTCTACACTGCGATCTAGACTCAAGGATCTGACAAAACTGAGAGTCCCCGCGTCCGCTACTCGTTCTGCTTCTTCCTCTAGAAGCTCTTCAATTCGCGGACAGGGTGATTTGTCGGTGACCGTGTGGAACAAACCCCCGACGCTAGCTCCTCGGGCCACACCCACCGCTCCAGTGTTAGAGCCAGCGAGCGCCGAATCAAATCAGGCGTCTGCCTCTTCGCAGGTACCGTCTGTTTCGTTCGGCGCTCCAGAGGATGATGCGATGTTGATCACAGCATCACAAGGCGGGCTTGAGTCCTCGGGAAGTGAGGATGCGGCTGCGTTGCCTCCTTCGGGAGCGCCAGCGTTGCCCGTGTCTGATCCCGAGATGACGGCCATGCTATCTCGGGCCGCCGTGAGTATCGGGTTAGAGTGGAACCCTCCGCCCTGCCCCGATCTCTCGCGGATGGATAATTGGTTTTTGGCTAAGGCTGCCGCCTCACGGCCACAGCCGACCCCAATTCCTTTTTTCCCCGAGCTGCATGCGGAACTGACGTGCACTTGGAAGGCTCCTTTGACCTCCCGAGAGCGCGCTTAAGCTTCCCCCGCCTTTCCTCCCCTCGACGGCGCGGTTGCCCGTGGGTACGCTGGGATGCCCCCAGTGGAGCGCTCTGTTGCGATGCTTCCTCCCGCGGTACTCCCAAGCACCCATCCAAAGCCTGTAGGTTCTCGTCGTCTATGGCGGCGCGTTCCTATAGAGCGGCGGGACAGGCAGCCTCCGCCCTGCATGCAATGAGCACTTTGCAGGTTTTCCAAGCCAAACTGCTCAGGGATATGCACGAGGGTGGGACTGACCAAACGGCTTTTAACAAGCGGCGAGCTGCCACCGACCTCGCTCTCCGGGCGACGAAAGTGGCCGCTCGCTCCGTTGGTCAGGTGATGGCCACTAGTGTGGTCCAGGAGCGCCATCTCTGGCTCAACCTGGCAGACACGCGGGATGCCGAGCGGACTCGTCTGTTCGATGCCCCCCTCTCCCAGGTAGGCCTTTTCGGCGGTGCAGTCGAGGACTTTGCACAGCAGTTCTCGACTGCCCAGAAGCAGATGGAGGCGATTAAGCACATCCTGCCCCGACGGCCAGCTGCCGCTTCCACCCAGCCGTCGGCTCAGACGCCTCCACCTGCTCGCCGCCGAGGACACCCTCCTGCAGCTCCCCTCCCTCCCACGCGGCCCCAGGACAGCGTCACAGCCCCCTCAGGCCGCGAGCCCCGCTAAACGCCAGGCGAAGCGGCGTTCCTGAGACGGGCTGGTCAGTGATGAGGTCGAGTTTTTCTCAGGAGGTGGTAGCAGGCCCCCTCCTTCCCCCGGTGGAGGGCCGGGGGAGAATCTTTTGTTCTCAGCTCCTCGCTGCTCACCCACGGGTGGGCAGCGCCCTGAGTTCGTTAAAGAAAGACTTCACATCATCACTGAGCACACAGGCAGGAATGAGAGCGCACAACGTCCCAGTGCGTCGCCCCGCTCATTCCTCTCTGTCTCTGAGGGTGCAGAAGGGAGCATGTGTCGTCCCTCGACTACACCACTCCCCTCGCCCTCTATTAACAGACCCCCGGCAGAACAGACCCCCGTGGAACGCTGGTCCTTCCCTGGTCTCTTCTGTCGGGGAACGGGGTTCGACTGTGCACCCGCACGGGGTAACTCCTGTGCGCATGCCAGTCTCCCCGCCTCGCTGCCCTTCCAGGGGGACGTCTGTGTTCCCATGACCCCGCTGGTTCAGTTCCTGGGAGCTTGGCTAGAGCTCCCCGGCCTGTCCCGCTGGGTCATCGGAACAATCAGATTCGGCTACGCGATTCAGTTCGCACGGTCTCCTCCCCGTTTCAGGGGAGTTCGCTTCACTGTGATCGGTGGCAATGCCCCGGTCATGAGAGCGGAAATTGCGACCCTGCTGGCGAAGGGTGCAATCGAGATTGTCCCTCCAGCGAGATGAGGTCAGGGTTTTACAGCCCCTACTTCATCGTCCCCAAGAAGACCGGTAGGTTACGACCGATCCTGGATCTGACGAATGCGTCCGGCCTCAGGATTGATTTGCAGCGATCGACCTGAAGGATGCGTACTTTCATGTCTCCATTTTGCCTCGACACAGACCGTTTCTTCGGTTTGCTTTCGAGGGCCAGGCATATCAGTACACGGTTCTCCCATTCGGGTTAGCTCTGTCACCTCGCGTCTTCACGAAGATCGTTGAGGCAGCCCTTGTTCCCCTTCGCGAACACGGGGTTCACATCCTGAACTATCTCGACGATTGGCTGATCCTAGCACACTCTCGAGAACCGGTTTGCGGATACAGAAACCTGGTACTCCAGCACCTAGCCCATCTGGGCCTTTGGGTTAACCAGGAGAAGAGCAAACTTTGCCCCGTGCAAAGGATCTCTTTTCTCTGTATGTCATGACTCGGTCGCCATGTCCGCGCAGCTCACGAATGAGCGCGCGCACACACTGCTGACTTGTCAACAGTTCGAGGGCAAGAGTGCGGTTCCACAGAAACTTTTTTAGAGGCTCCTGGGGCATATGGCATCCGCAGCCGTGGCAACGGCGCTCGGATTGCTTCATATGAGACCACTTCAGCTGTGGCTTCGCGCTCGAGTCCCGAGGTGGACATGACATCGCGGCTCGCTCCGAGTTCCTGTGACTCCAGCGTGCCGCCAGACCTTCTTCCCGTGGTCGAACCTCAGCTTTTTCTGGGCCGGAGTCCCTCTTCAGTGAGTTTC